CTTCAAAGGGGGAGGGAAATGCTTCACCTGTGGATATGCCTGGTGAAAACCAAGTGCCAAGAAACAAAATTTCCTTTGTTCTCCCAGGCTGCAATGACACCTCTTACACAGGGCGCTGGCAGTTCTTTTCCGCAATAAAACATGATCACAAAGTGCGCCAGTTCACTAGGGTTTGGTAAACTGTCATGTTAACACAGTGACAACTGCACTGTTTTATTTATAAATACAAATTGATACTATTTAATAATAATTTTATAGTAACTATTATTTTAGGATAATTTTACAATGAAAAAGAGCCAAAGCAGCTTTTGGAGATGTTAAGATTTAACAAAGCTAGCTGATGTGGCCAAGTATAGCCTCAGCACCTGGAAAACTGTTTTAAGCAAGACCAGAACCCCAAAAGCTATGAAGAAAAAGACAGACATATATGACTATATAAATCTTCAACTATTTTGTTTTAAGATACCCACAAAGTCAAAAGACAAACAATAGATTAAGAAAACACATTTCTCATCTGTCTGACAGATGAAGGTTTAACATGTATAATATAAAAAGAGCTTCTGCAAATCGATGAGAAAAAGACAGCCCCCAAATGGAGAAAGGATATAAACAAGCAATTTACAGAACAAACCCAAACTTGCCACAGACGATTGCACGTGCACTATAGTTGGGGGCGGGTGGTGCTGAGGTGAAGTCAGAGGGGATCTCACTTCGCCCCCATTAGATCGGTGGGTGGGGGCAGGGGGAAGCCTCTGACCTTACTGGTAGAAATCTGAATCATGAACGTCACTGGGAAAAGCAATCCAGGGATGCAAAACACCAGTCCCCTCCAGGCCTGCAGTCCTGCAGAGGCTGCCGTGTGCAGCTTCTAGCCCTGAAGGAAGATGGGGTGAAGGACCGTGGAAGGGCCCAAGGCAACATGGGGCTGGAGAAGTACATGCAAGGGAGTGAGTCTCCTGGCCCCACCTCTAAAGATCTGTGACAATGGGCCCCTGTATATTCCAAGGGAATTGAAGGGTACACTGCTGTCAACATGAGACCCAGGTGGAGGAAGAGAGTGGCGTAGGGGAGGTGACAATTATGAATGTGTCCGGATCAGGCAGCACACATGTGTGCTGTCGAATCCATGTAAGATTGCATGTGTGACCGCGTGTGGAGAGACATGTGTGGAGGCAGGGCCACCAGAATGCTGACAGTCCTCCCAGGTGGCTGTGGGTGACATTTACATCCTTCTCTATACTTTCCTGTATTGCTCTATCATTTTCCCATCAAGGAGCCTGTATTATCTACATAGTCAGAGCAAAACCCAGAAAATAATTTTCTCTGGGGAGAAAATATGCAGATGTGGTGCCAGAAAGCAGGGAAGAGGCCACGCAGCAACACTTTCGTCACTTCTTCCAGGGGGAAGTAGAGTGGACAGAGCTGGGGGGAGGCGGGATGGCTGGATGTCTGACCCGTGTTGTCACTTTCAGCCAAGTCAAACTTCTAGAGTTTCGGTTTCTTTATTTGTGAAATGAGGGAGTTGGCACAAATGGCTTCTGAGATCCCTCCCAGGTTTGGAACCTGTAAACCGTTAGGCCAGAGGTGGGGGAGAGGCCCCATCTGGTAGCCCCTGGCTCCCCATGGGGCACAGCAGAGCAGCAACGCACAGCAAGGGCCGCGCAGCTCCCAGCAGGGCCCGGCGGAGGCGCGGCCACGGCCTCCATCCCCAGCGTCTCAGGGTTCCCTGCGGGCCAGGGCTGAGGCACTCTGAGGTCTCAGCCCGAGAAGTGGGGCTCGTCTGGGCAGGAAGGAATGCAGAAAACTACGTAGCTAACATCAACCACACTTTGACAGACACTGATCCAAAAACGGGGGTGGGGAGAGAAGGTTCCAGGCCATGGCCTGCCAGGTGCCCTCTCGCCCACCTGTTCAGTCTCGCACGGCTCCAGGGCTTCCGGCTGCAGATGGATTCGTTCAATGGAGGGTTGCCAGATTCAGCAAATTAAAATACGGGATGCCCAGTTAAATCTGAATTTCAGAGAAACGAATATTTTTTTTAGTATAAGCACGTCTCGTGCAATATTTGGGACACATTTGTGCTAAACATCATTCACCGTCCTGCGAGTAATCTGTCAATCCTGGATGGGAGCCCTGACAGCAGAAAGGAGAGTGGGGTTGGGCTTCCCAAGGTCTCTGCCCTCCTGAGGTGTCCCCTCTACATGAGCCTCTCCTTTGGGTAAGGTCCACCCCCAGCGTCTCCCCAGGCCCCGGAGTAGTAAAGGCCCCCTGTGGTTCCCCTACTCCCACCCCCATCGTGGTGTGTGTCGTTCTCCATGAAAGTGTCCTGAGTTGCCCTAATCTGAGCATGCCACCTGTTTCCTGTGGGGACCCAGCCTGAGACAGGAGCGAAAAGAAAACCAGAAAGTTTGCAGGGCTATTTATTACATAGTTAATGGTGAAAATAAAAAATAAAATAGGGCTGGCCGGTTAGCCCAGTGTTAGCGCATGGTGCTGGTAACACCAAGGTCCAGGGTTCGATCCCTGTACCAGCCAGCAGCCAAAAAAGAAAATAAATAAAATAGTCACTGGTGCTTGCCACTCAAGGTGTGGCACGTACAAGCCCCAGCAATTCTTACCAGATGGGCTCTGTCAGTGAGGGGAAACAGCTACTACTGGAGAAAAGCAAAAGGGGGGTCCCCGGATGCCAGGTGAAGAGCTCACCCCCATAAGGCCCTGGCTCCTGCCCCCCACGCCTCCTTCTCCCTTCTTCCGCGCTCTCTGAAGGAAGGGTGGCCTCTCTGGGGAGGCCACAGCCTTTTCCCTCTTCTAGGGCATATGGAGCCTTCCAGACAGAACTTCAAATGCAACAAAGCTGCTTCTCAAGCAAATGCTGCCCCTCCCTGCTCTCCACCCACTAGTGTGCCCTGCCTCCGGGCCCCAACCCTGGGCCAGGCCCTGTCATTTGCCCTGGGCCCCAGGCCCCAAGGGAGTGGGCAGGGGCAATGCTCCTGGGCCCTTTTCTGGTGGAGTTTCCAGAAGGTTCTTCAAGGTGTGGGTTGGGTTAACACCCACCACTCTGCTACCCACTTGAGATGTGCTCAGCCGGGACAGAATGTCCATCCCAGGTGCCCAATTTCAAAAGTGTCTTGGTAGTCATAGCAATAGTCTGCATGCCAACCCACAGAGACTCTGGGAGACGCCTCAGGGGCACTCAGCAGGTGCGTGTGGGTGGCCCCTCCTGAGAGCCTTTCAGCAGGGACAGGACGTCCTCTCTCCTCTGCCATCGGCTTTGTGGCTGATCACTTACCCATTTAATTTGTGGATGGCCACTGAGATGGGCCCAAATTGTTTTCTACCAGGGAATAAGAAAAGCTTAAAGCAGAAGATCCTACTCGGTACCTGAGACTACGGGACAAGAGCCCTGGAATCTGGAACTGGAGAGATCCTGAGCTAAATAAGTGAGTGACATTAGCTTTCTTCAGAAGTCCCCTTTCAGGTGAAAGGTGGTGAAACAAGCTCTAAATAAATATTAACGAGCAGGAAGGAAGAATACGTACAGGGGAGTGTTCTTCAGGAGTCTGAGGGCAATCCAAAGGCAGAAACTTCAGAGCCTCTTTAGCCCCAGCATCGCCCAACGGAGAGAGCACCCTGGCCCGCAAAACAGGTCTGACCCCTTAGCCCGAGGGTTCAAAAATTGTCATCTGTATGAGAAGCACGCTGGGGGATTCAAAACACGAGGTCCAGGGCCGTGCCCTGAGATATCAGCAGGAGAGCATGGTTCACAAGGACCTGGGTGATGGGCACGTGGGGATTGCTCAGACTATGCTCCGGGTCTCTCTCGTGGTGACAGACACCTGACCATACAGTAATTGTGTTAGCCTGTTTCTGTTGCTTATAACAGAGTACCTGAAACTGGGTAATTTATAAAAAAGCAGAATTTATTTCTTACAGTTGGGAGGCTGGGAAGTCTACAGTCCAGGGGTTGTTTCTGGTGAGGGCGTTCTTCTTGGTGGGGGCTCTCCACAGCAGCGCAGGGTGTCACATGGTGAACAGGCTGAGCAAGAGAGAGCTAACCTCCTCACTGGCTCTCCTTTTCAAGCTACCAGCCACCAAAAAAACCCCCCCAAAACAAAGAATCACACCCATGGCCACCCATTAACCAACAATGGATTCATCCATTCTTGGGGGTACAGTCCTCACAATCCAATCACCTCTTAAAGACCCCACCTTTCAGTTACCATGATAGGACTTCCCATCCTCTTAATACTGTTATAATGGAGATTAAGTTTCCAATACATGAAACTTTGGGAGATACATTTAACCCGTAGCAGTAACTCTAGCTCCTAAGGAGATCTAAGCCACAACCTGGCTCTGAGGGTAGACTCACCACGCAACTTTCTGTTGAGAATTCAACTTTGGATTTATGTGTGTGTTTCTTCATGTAGATGTGCCCTGCCTTGTTACACAAAGGATCTGAAGTGACATGGCTTTCATGTGACCTGCCTACAGCTAATATGAACATCAAGTCAGCTTGGCAATCACAGATGACGTGCGGAGTTAAGTGATTTCCCCATCAGTCTGCTGGGAATGTGTTTAGTGTGATTCAGTCTCCCTGAACCCAGTCACTTCTTGGGACACTCAGTAGCCCCACTGACTGGCCCACCCAGCTGTTGCCAGTCCACACCTGTCACTGACACCCTGAAGATATTGCGGACAACTGTTCTCTCTCCAACCGTGTGACGGCATTCTTGGGGTCATTCCCCCACCTACCCGACGCTCTATTTTGAAACATTTCAAACTACAGGAAAGTTACAAGAATACTATGATGAAAACCCACATCCGCTGCACTGGATCTCTGCTTTATGTCTTTGGAAGTAAGTGGCAAAGATCATAACATTTCACCCCCAAATACTGAAGCCTGCACCTTCTCAGGGAAGGACAGTCTTCTGTGTAATCCTCATATATTATCACAGCCAGGACATCTAACACTGATAAGAGAACGTCATCCGATAGTCCACTCCAAAGGTGCGGGTCATCAGTCTTCAGCAGCTTCTTTCCACACGTTAATGCATCTTCCCCTCAGGGCAGGGTCTTTGGCAAGTGTTTAAAGTTGTCAGAAACAAAAACGCAAAGTGGAACTGGAGCACGTCACAGACCTTGGACCAGAAGTGGCCAGTGAGGCGCTGGAAGAGGCGCCATTGTGCGAGCTGATGGTCACACAGCTTGAGGACAACAAAGCCCAGGCAGGAGAGCACGCCCAGGGCTAGGTAGGCGGCCGAGGCGGCACTGCCATACCGCCCTTGGGCGCGCAGGGCCTGGCCCACGGCGGCCGCCATGTGAGCCCCCAGCGCCACGTCGAAGCCACGGGGGTGCAGCAGGGCGAGGCTGTAACTGCACAGGGAGAGGCTCTCAACCGAGAGGAGCAACCAGGGCTCCCAGCCCCTGTCCAGGTAGAGGCACCAGGCCACCGGCCACGCGAAGATGGGCAGGGTGAGCCACTGGTCGAGCACTGCGGCAGGCCGCGCCTGCGTCCCAATCCGCAGCCACTGAACGGGGCCGTAGACCAGGGCCATGCCGGCAAAGGCCGCCTTCAGGTAGCCGGCCCCGCGCCCCGGGGCATCGGCCTCTCTCCAGAGCCAGTGCACTCCCAGGAGCACGTAGGCCAGGTTCACGAGCGAGTTGAAGGGCATGGCCAGGAAGGCGGGGAGGCCGGCTACGCGCACCTCGGCATAGTGCTCGTAGCCCACTTGGACTGCGACGCCATCGAAAACGCCCACGGAGACGGCGGCAGCGCAGAGGCAGCTGGCCACGGCCACGTGCAAGAGGGCCTGCCTGGACTCTGGTTGCATTTGGAACCTTCAGTGCCACCCGGGGCAGAGGGCTTAGAAGAGTGCTACCTCCACCGCTATTTCAGACTTCAGCTAAACAGCTTTTGCAAAACACTCCTTGGCCTCCCAGCTGAGCCTGAAGGAAAAGGTCCCTGTGATTTCCGATGCAGATGCTGAGACCTTGCCTCGCAGTGGCAGTGGCAGGCCGGAGCAAGGCAGGAGTCCTGCTGATTGGCTGGCACAAGTGGAGGAATGTTCTGCCTTTTTCCTTTGTGGTTATAAAAGAGTGTGGTTAGAAAAAATCATCCAAAAAAGAGCCTCCATCTTCCCGACTCTCAGCCTCAGGATCCACTAACAGTTTCCATTAGAAAAAACAAATAAAAGTGAAACAATACCCACGGTACATTCACCTTCTTACTCATGGCCTCTAGAAGACTCTAGAATCCTCTGCTGCCTAGGGGTTTCGTGACTTTCCTGGCACCTATGCTGCTCTTTTTCTTTTTCTTTTTTTTCGTTTTATGCTGCTCTCTTTTCATCTGTGTACTATAAAAATCCTGCTCATTGTCCTAGTTCCCTTAAAACCACTGCATTTAGAGACTGAAACCTTTCCCAGGTCTGCCATTACATTCACAACAGTCTTTCCAACCTGAGCGGCATTATAAAAATGGAAGTTTCCAGGACAGCTCCAAAGCCCTTTTAACCAAATATCCAGTTGAACTACAAACCATTAAATGTGGTCGAAGTTCTGGTAACAAAGGCCAGGGACGGCACACCGCATTTGCCCTGGCTTGCCCTCCTGCCCTCCCCTGAAGTGCCAAGCCCCAAATCACCTTCTTTCTCTGAGAATGACTCAAAGCCAAGAGGGGGCGTGGGCGGGCAGGTGTGGGACAGAGAGAAGGGTGGGCCTCAACTTCCAGGTGGTCTGATGCCAGACTGCCAGCATTCAAACCCCAGCTCTCCCACTTACTGTGTGACCTTGGGATTTAACCGTTCTGGGCCTCAGTTTGCTCAGCTGTAAAATGGGGATGCTGTCAGTCCCTCCCCCTCAGGGTTGTTGTGTAGATTAAACGGGTTCTTATACACGTAGGTCACTTGGCACTGTTTATTTCTGAGGCACAATGTCCTGTCCACATCCTCTCATGCAGATTAGGCCCCAGAAGGGTGGGGCAGGGTCTGAGGCTTTGCTTTCCCAGGCGCCCGGCGACGCACGGCTCCGTTTTCACAGAGTTACACAAAGCACAAAGCCAGGGCCTTTGCACTTCCCTCACCTCTTGCCAGCTCAAATCGCTACTTCACTTCTCAGACAGGCCCTGGTCCTCTGGGCCTCACACTGAGCTTTCTTGCCTCGGTCCTTGGTGCTCTTTTGCGACTGAGGATCACCAGGCACAGCATGTGCATGTCCCACTATCCTCTAAAGCTCAGCATTTCCATGAGGGAACTGAAGCCCTCAGCCAACTCTGTATCTCCTCGCTTCTTCACCAAGCCTCCCCCTGTAGGGGCGCACGGACAAAGGAATCACGCGGGACCCGGGCTAACAGTTCGCCAAGGAGGTTCCGCTTTATTCAAGGACTGTGCGTACATTTATAGGGAGCTGCGTTCCGGGGTTGGATAGGGGGTGGACGGGGCGGTAGCTGATTGGACGGGGCTGGGCAGGAGGTGAGCCTTGACCTGTGACTGGCTGAGGTTTGGAGCAGGTGGGCCTGTTTACTGTGGAGAAGAACCAGGAAGGGCGCCATATTGCCAGGGTGTGTCCCTGTTCAGGCACCCATGGGGTCCCTACACCTACACCCCCTCTCAGCATGGAGCACCCTGGACTCCTCCCACCCTCTCCTCCCCAGCTAAGGAGCCTTCCAGCCTGGGAGGCCCCCTTGCCCTGGGGTTCCCACCTCCAAGCTGGCCACCACTAACATGATCTGCACACAGCAGCTCCCAGAATGTTCTTCAAGTACCCCTGGATCAGATTGTGTGCACCTCTGCTTAACACGATTCACTGACCAGCTCTGCACTGCGCATGATCATGCCCAAACCTCTTGGCCAGAACCAGCTCTGTCCTCTGGCCAGAACGAGACTCTGTAGTCAGGGAAGCCCTGTGTGCCCTCCCTGGCCTGCTCACACCCTCAACCCATTTCCTCTCAGGCACTTCCCCATTCAGCTCCTGACTCCAGCTGGGACACCAGCTGAGGTTCCGCCTGGTGTCTCTGGAGCCTTCCCTGCACCCATCTGGGGCCCCATGCTGCCTGCAGTAGCCTGACCCTCCTGTCTGCTAGCAAGCAGGGTGAAGAGCTGGGAAGAGGAGTCAAACACTGTCAACTTGATAGAGGAGGAAAGCCAGGAAGGGTGTGGAAAGTGACTCTTCTTTCCTGCTGCAGGAGCAGAGTCCACCTGAGCGTGAGCAAAAGCTGAAAGTGACATGTAATCAAACCAACTGCAAGTCCCCCGGAAAAACCAAGCTGGCCACTTTATGGCCTAGCTCCTCAGTGCCATTGAGTTGCCATGACCCTTGTTACATGACACTCAAAGCTGTTCACATAACATGTGCTCCTTTGACTCTCCTGCTTCCTGAGGCTAATATGCATTTAAGCGGGAGCCACTGTCAACTCCAGGCGAAGGAACAGCGGAGGCTTCTTTAGCCTGTAGCATTTATGACAACTTTTTTTTTCTTTTGGAGGCTGGCCTGTGCAGGGAACCAAACTCTTGACCTTGGCGTTACAAGGCTGTGCTCCGACCAACTGAGCTAACCAGCCACCCTATAACAACTTTTTGAGTCCCCGATGACCCTCTTTGCTGTCTTTTTGCAGATAAGGGGACATAACATGCAGATGAGGTGAACCTGGGACACCTGGACGCCCAAGTAGCCAGGAGCAACCACAGTGATTTCTGAATTTTGGGGAGAGAAACACTGAACGCAGGCAAGGCCCTTGGAAACCGGCAGCTAAGCTTCCTTATTTTACAGGGGAGGGACCAGGGCCAGAGAGATAAGGTGACTGGCCAAGGTCACACAGGCGGTTGGTGGCACAGCCGCACAAGCCGGGGCTCTTCTTTGGCTGTGCCACAGGCCTCTTTGGCCTTTCTCAAATGAATGCTTCCAAGTGCATAAATTAAAACACAGAGAATTACAAAATAAATTCCATATGTCAAAAGACAGTTATTAAAACATTTTCCAAAATGTGTGATATGGCAATATATGTGCTTCCCTGCTGACACATTAAATCCCAAGATCTGCCGGCAGGCTGGGTAACTACAGTAACTTCGAAGTGATTACAATTCAATTGAACTTCTAGACATCTACAACAAAAGCTCTTCTATGCTCTTCTGCCTACACCCCTAATTGTGGGAAATGCCAAATTCCGCCTAGACGTTAGTGACAATGAGGATGAAATAAAGATGAGTTCAAGTGGAGACATCATCATCTGTTCTCGCTCCGAGCTCCCGGAGGCCAGCTTAAGACCCCTGCGCTGCAGCCTGCGTGTGGCAGTAAGGACGACGCTGCAGCGAGCGCCCAGGTGGCCTCCGGGAAGATGTGGATGCTAGTACCCATCTATTAAGGTTGTTGCCAGAACTTACAGTATTGGCGCGAAATGGCCAGCGATCACCATACGGGTATTTTGCCTCTTTCGCTTTGCTGGGGGAAATTCAAATCTTGAAAAAGGGCGGACCCGACAGGCGACCGTGCGC